GTGCGGTCAAATTTTTATTAATAAAAAAATTTCCATATTGAGCAAAAATCGGGCGTTACTTTTGTTGGCTACTGTACTTTTAATTTATTCCTAAATTGGTATTTATACGTAACAATAAATTGTTAATATGTAAATTCCGACAAAAAGTCATCATCTCTGTCAATGTCGTCTAAAGCTAGAAAATAATAATACATGTTACCGTGATAAATATTCGTTCAGAAATTGTCCTATAGGTAATTTATTTACGTGAATTAGCCTTTTTTTCTGAGTAATTCAAATTTAAATAATAACACACCAACAAGTTTAACAAGTTCTGATAATGTTATGAATCAAATTTAAATAATAACACATCAATAAAATCGACAATTTCCATGAATTTTAATGAAAATAATTGTACCAGATGTGGTCGCAAGAAACTTTATGATGAATGGTGTAAACAATGTGAACATGATTTTTTCAAATCAAACTTTCACAAATGGACTAGCGGAAACGAAATTATTGATACCTTTATAAGAGAAACTCAACTTTTAGCTACCACCAAGTTTAATTTCTTAGAGTGGATTCCTTACTCTAGTATAATTGATATTAAATTCATCGGTAGAGGTGGATTTGGTGAAGTGTTCTCTGCAATATGGATTGACGGTCCGAGAACTAAATGGAATGCCGAAAAAAATGTTTGGGAAAGATATTCAAATGTTAATGTTGCTCTAAAAAGTCTTAAAAACATAAAAGAGGAAGATATTACTAGTGATCTTTTTAAAGAGGTACTTTCTATATGACACTTCTTAATCAATTAGTTTAATCATGTTAACCTACATTTAAATTAATAACAATAATATATACTAATTTACGCATGTAGCTTAAAGCTCATTTAATGTCTAATGACCAAATAGTAGGTCGTTTTAACGTCTTGCGCACCTATGGTATTACCTATGATCCTGAATCAAAGGTTTATATGATGGTCATGACATTAGCAGACTATGGTGATTTATCTTCATATTTACAAAACCATTTTTCTACGCTCACTTATATGAAGAAACTTGAACTTCTCTATGACATGGCAACTGGTCTCACTCAGATTCATAAATCTGGCCTTGTACATCGTGATTTACACTGTGGTAATGTAATGTGCCAGGGAATAATGGATAAAAACCTAGGTCGTGGTGAAGAGTATAAATTCGTCATAGGTGATATGGGCCAGGCGACTCTACCAAAAAGAAATGATAACAATGTGTTCGGTGTATTACCATACGTTGCACCAGAGGTCTTACTCAATAAGCAATATACTCAAGCAGCTGATGTATACAGTTTCGGAATTCTTATGTGGGAGATCTTAACTGGTTTAAAAGCTTTTGGTGAAATTAAGCATGAAACTTCTTTAGCATTAAAAATTTGTTCTGGAACGAGACCTCATATTCCACCTAATACTCCAAAATTGTATGAAGATTTAATGCGAAGATGTTGGTGCAATAATATTGATGCAAGACCAAGTGCGCATGAGTTGTATATAACGATCGGAACATGGTTGAATCAATGCTTATTCGTTCCAAATTCTGAAATCGCTAAGGAATTTATAAAAGGTGATGAACTCAGGTCAAAAACACCGCAACAACAAACATTGCATCCGGACAATGTCCTATACAGTACTGCTCATAATATTATAGGTATGCTAATTATGTTACTAAAATCTTTGTATTTAGTGTTAACAAATTAAAAATTTTGAAATTAGGTACACTAATATGTTTTATTTTATCTATTTCAATTTTATAAATGTAATTATTAAAAGATCAAATTGACCTTAAAACCTCTGGTTTGTTAAACATTGAAGGTTCAGCTGACCTTGAAATCCCTGATGATTTGTGAATTTAAAGAAAACTTCAAACACTGTAGCAAGATTATTATTTAAAAAATTTTAATGATAATATAAAAATTGTAAAAATTAATATTAATAATTTTACTAAATAGTTTAGCATCAGTCAGTCAGTCAAGGATAATTCTTTAAGGGATAGAGGTTTGTTATTAGTTTGTGCTATTAAATGATTCTTGATGAAAGTTCTCCATCTTAATTCAGTTGGTCATTGATTATTACATGATATTATGTTCAATGAATATCTAAGAATTCTCACTCGTTGCTATAAGAAGTATACTATTTAAATCACATATAATTTATTATTACAGATAATATTAAATATTAATGATATAGTAAAATTAATAATATTGTTTTATAATGTCTGAATATGTTTGTATATGTTCACTTTTTTTAATATTTCTTAATATTTCTTCCGATGTATTTAATAAAATTTTTCATCACTCTGCCATACTGTAAAGATTTCTCGGATTTTTTTTTTGCCGATTGACGGTTTACTGGATCTCTTTCCCAACATTCTTTCATTAAGTTTATATAGCATTGTGTTGTGTTTTCAATAATTGTTGGCCATAAATCATTATAACATATTTCTAATTGCAATTGTATTCAAAATTCTTGATCATAAGATACCGAATTTCCATATAAAATTTTCCACATAATTATTCAGAATGAATAAATATCTGATGCTGTTGTATATTGTTTTTCATCCAAAATTTCTGGATCCATATATTGTAAAATTCCATAACCTCTACGTTTTTCTGCTTTTGGAGCTATATTAATTGTTATTGATAGTCCCAAGTCGGTAATGTATTCACTATGTAAATTATTTTGCAAAATATTGCCACTGTGCAAATCTTGATGAATAAGGTCTTGAGAATGAATCAATTGGAGATCAAAAGCAGAACAATGCAATAAAGTTAATTTATCTTCCCATTTCATCTGTACTATAAAGTAAAGATTCTGACACAAAGAACCCGTTGCTTTAATCTTCCTTTGATATTCCATATCATTTTAAAAATAATGGATGTTTAGAACTAATATCACAGTATGACTTTAGTATAAAATACTGTATATTTATATCTAAATATACATAAATTACAAAATAAAATAAAATAAAATAATTACCTCTTTTATAAATCCTTTATTGTAATATTTTTATCCATGAAGTAATTTAAGTGCAATATGTCTTCTTACACTTATGTAGCATAAAATACTGTCGGAAATCCACCTTGTCCCATTTTTTTAATAAGATTAAATTCTTATCAGGAATTTATAGTAATGGATATTCTTTTCCTCCAATAATTTTTTAATATTATCATTAATATTAGAAAAAAAAACTTAATTTTAACATTGACTAGATTTCTTTATCGTCATCTAATCCATAGTCACCAATCACATTAAATCAGCACCCATGTCATGTGATAATGAATTATAGTATATATATAAGATAAAAACCAAAGTCGATCATCTTAAAATTTTTTCTTTTTATTAACTATAAACATGTCTAAAGAAGATAATCAGGAAATAAATCTTAAAAACTTGGACCTTAATCGTACTTATACATTCGAAGAGTTCGAGTTAATTAATGAACAGCTTAAGAAAAATCCCATTGAAGTTGACGGGGAACCCGTGGACCTTTTCGAATTCATAGACAATAAACTTGTACCAATGCCACAGCGTGCTTTTAAGATGGGAGCTGTTGTTTCAGAAATTGCAGCACAACTCGGACAATGGAATGTCCGAACTCGTAAAAATGGTATTATAACATCTTCTCAAGGCGGTTTCAATTTTAACGTTGGTGGCAAAAAGACGATTGTAGCTCATTGCTTTTACTCCAAGGGAAACATACAACAGATTGACTAAACAACAACTTGAATCTTTCAAAGGTGAACCTTTTTCACCGATTTTTGTTGTAGAAGTCGAAAACATTGCCAAACAATCAAATTTCAATAAATTGGATTCTAAATTCAAAGATATTTACTTTGCGAAAGAATCAGCTGTCCAACTTGGGTGGTTGGTAGATCCCATAAATAAAAAAATTTATGTATACAGAAGGGGACAAAATCGACAGTCTCATGGATGGAGAAACATTAATGGTGATGAAATTTTGCCTAAATTTACATTGAAGATTCAGTTTATTGAACAAGTTATCGAAGTATGTTGTTGTATTATCACTTCTATTATGCTATAAATTCTGAAATTCATTATTTGTAATCGACCATAGGGCGCAGAATCTTCAGAATCGGAATCTACAGAAGAACAAGAATTAAATATTAAATGCCCTAAATGTGATGAAGTATTTAATAAGCATTACTTCTTTATGGTTCACTTTGAGGATACGCATATACGAAAGTGGCGCAAAGTTTCTGGTCAATAGAAAATTATTTTTATGAATTGTAAAAATTTATGAATTAAAGAATAGCTAAATTTGTATATGTATGTTGCAAATAAATAAACTATACTTATCTTTCTGCGTTTTGTAAAGTTCTTAAAATGCTAATTTCTTTAGTACAATTAATTTTAAAAATATAAATAAATTATTAAAAATAAATCTTTATTTATTAGAACTATAGCATATTATAAATCAGTAAATTATGAAGAAAAATAGCCTATTTCGTTTACTATATACACAAATATAACAGAGATGTATTTGTTATTATACCAAAAATATTAAAGGTATTACTTATTATTCAAATTGATGATATTGTTGATATAAGTGCGTATCAAAGTAATTATTGCAATTATCGTTTCATATCTTCATGTATATATTGGCTATTATATATTTTTTAATGAATGAATGGTTGATTCTTTAACATAAACCTTAATATACTGTATAAGAGAGATAAAAAAAACATAAACATATGCATGAATTTTTTTATCTAACCACTTTATTGAAGGACCTGAGACTGTTTTAATATGCAAGAAGTGTCAAACAATTTACATTGACTACATAATTACAAACACCAACAGAAGAGACTATTAATCAAACAAATGAACATGGCATATGTATTGATGTTCGACTACATCACCTCCATATCATAATTTCAACATGGCTTCTCAATGTTGTTATTGTAATTTCACTGTAAATGTTGTGATTCATGAACCTTTATACTGGTGTCCAAATATTTGATGAATTACAAAAATTACAACTTTGATTATTGCAGCACCCAAGAATTGTCTTTAATTTCATATGCGCCTAAATCTTTCGTACTACAATTCCACTTTTAAGTTTTAATTGATTCCATAAGCAATAGGTCATTTTTGTGGATCAGAATCCATGTGTTGTTTAATTAATTCTATGCCAAGTTCTATAAATGAATTCAGGCCATAATACAGTACAAAACAAAACTTCATTAGCACATATCCTCTTGTATGTACTGTACCTGGATCTTTATGGAGCGCTTATAGTACTTGGTAGCTTATTATTCGTTGAATTTTATCGGTGAATAATGGCATATTCGGATATTCGATTCGGTGAATCGATTTGTACTGAATATCCGGATAATTATTTATCGAATCAGACGGATGCTATGCAAGTACCGTTTATTTTTATATCTATTTGTACGTAACCACTTCTTTTACAAATATGCCCTTTGCGATTTTTGAATCTGTGCCCGGTTTGTCGATCATCATGCATGATTTCGTGTAACATCTATGTGTAACATCTACATACAT